GGTACTTTTCGAAAGAAATTGCAAGCAATACTTTCGGATGAATTCGTAGACGATAATATGAGTATATATGGGGAAAGTCGAAATTTTCAATTCCTGAAGACAAAGAGAAAATGTAGGAGTGAAGAAGCTGCGAAAAAATGGAGAAGTATTCGGGCAGTCACAAGTGACTGAAAACTCCGGGATACGCCGCGAATCGACATATTCACCGTGTCTTACGAACTCCGCGCCATTTCGTGTTACATATTAAATATACGTTGTTAACTACGAATATAAGTCTACCAATCTTTCACCTCACATTATCCAACAAATATCCCCAAAAATTAATAAATAGGATATTGAATAATGAATTATTTTGAGCAATGCCTAAATTATCATAATCATATGTCAAAATATATATCATAATATATAAATACATAATAAGCAGAATACATAATTTCCAGAATATCTGGAAATTTTAGAGTTCGATTTTTGAATTGGGTTTTTGATTGAAGATGAATCGTTAAATTTGTATTAAAAATAGAATATTGTAATAAGTGTCGCTAGGTACTCACGGTTTAACCTCTTCTCATTTAGAAGATGTAATTCTTATTGTAATTAAAATTATTTAACAATTGTCGCAATCTTGAAATTGATTGAGCAAATAATCTCGCCGACATATAAGTACGTGGATACGTGACTATTTTCAATAACTGTTGAACACTGTCTCCGATCACATCGTTTAATAGAATGTAATACGGACGTATGTGCGTACGTAATATGTTCTAATGCATATTAATGTACTTAGCATTTATGTTCTCTACTTTTTACTGTTAACTCTAAGAAATGATTATGTAACAAAATGATTATCTTAACTTGTGTTTCATCGTCGTTATTCTAACACTCTGTCTGGAAATACTTCGTCGTATCTGAGTTTCAAGCAAGCAAAAGGAAATGAAATACATACAAGCAATACGTATAATTGCTCGTGAAAATTTGAATACTAAATATTATAATATTATAGTATTATAATATTGTAGTATAGTATAATATTATAATATGTAATAAAGTATCATAGTATATAATATAAGTTCATATAATACATACAGTTATAGACAAAATTGAGTGGACAGGTAATGGAAATAGATATAAATTAAACTTAGTCCAAGTAGTTTATTCTTACGTACTTAAATTTCATATATTATATATCTTTATGTTACATAGATTATTTAGTGAATAATTGAAATTAATATTTACATTTGTATTGAAATAAGATATACTTAAAGAAAAACTTAGCTGATTTTCGAGGGACGAAAATAAGTAGACATGTAATGAAATAATATGAGAAGAATAAAATTAATATTTAGTATGTCCACACTTTGCTTTAATAATTGCTTCTAGACGTCGTGGGATGCTGCTTTATCAGATTTTCAATGTAATTTTTATCGATATTTTCAAATGCTAATTGCAAATTTTTAAAACAATCGTTCTTGTCCTTTCCTTTTTTAATGACATTTCTGAGTCCAATATACTCCATAAATTTTCTATTAGATTCAAGTCCGGACTGGTTGTGCTGGTCGTTACAACAATTTAATATATGAATTCTCAAAAAATTTATTGGTCTTTATAGCAGTATGCTTTGGGTCATTATCCTGCTGCAAAATTTATTCTTCTTCGTGACCCATTTTTAGAACTGCCTCTTCTAAATTTTCGCATATTATTTCAATGTGCTTGTCAGCATTTATTATTCCTTCAATTTGTACCAAACTACCAACTCCATTCCATGAAAAACAGCCTCATGACATTAATGACCCTCCTCCAAATTTGACAGTTGGCGTAATGAATGGCTTTTTGTAGGTTTCATATCTTTTTCTCCACACATAATCCTTTTTTCCTTCATTTGTTGCAATTCAAATTTGCTTTCGACACTCCATATCATTTTTTTTCAGAATGATTTTGGCATATTTACATATTTTTTAGCAAAAGCTAAACGTTTCTTCATATTTGTTTGATTAATGTATGGCTTACATTTGGCTTTACAGTACCTTAATCCCAACTCCCGCAATATGTCGTACTATTTTTGATGATACATTTAATTCTAACGTTTCTACAATATTTCGCGATGCGATTCTCGGATTTTGTCGACATTTAACAATAATTCCTTCGCGGCGATACCACGTTTATGTCCGCTACCACTTAAATTCTCAACGATTTTATTTACTAAATATTTTTTATAAATTTTTTCTACCGCACTTTTGGAAACACCGAAATTTTTTGCTATCACACGGTAACTTAATTAATTGCGACAGTCCGATATAACGAATTTGATTTGAAATTTCTTTTCTTGCTGACATTCCAATATTTCCTTACAAATAATCTACCCTGTACAAAGCCTAGAAAACAACTAAACAGTTAATTTGATACCACAGCGTAAGAATGGAAGCAACACTTCACATTTGTTCACATTGTTTGCCTTGGGGTAACGAAACAAACAAGTGTCCATGTTACGGCGCAGAGCGACGGTGAACGCTAGTTGCTACCCGCTTCGCTGGACTTTCTCTCGTCGTGCCCTTTACAGTCGCCAGAGAGATGTTTTTATTAACGAGAACGAGATGTAGAATAAAATACTTATTTCACTATTCTAAAACTGTTGATTGTAATGAATGTGTTGCGTGTCATGAGTCGGGAGAAGGCATGCTAGCTTTCCTCGTGACTGATGCGAACCCTTCTGACTGACTGCATGTGACAGACTCGAATGGTGTCTGAACTGCGTAAATCTACGTGACTTTTAGAAAATTGTACGAGACTTTCTGACGCCGGCTAAGGCGACTTTTTTTTTTTTTTAATGGGGGTTTAGCATCGCATCGACTACGAGGTCTTTAGCGACGTGTCAAAATTGACTCTTTACAACTGGTCTAGTAGTTGGGTCTCCTTTAGGTAGTTGATAACGTTTTTTTGTCGTTTCTGGCAGGTTAGAGCGGTGTTTTCGTTTAATCCATATTTACCTCTTATGCTTCGGTATTTTCTGCATTCATGTAGTAGGTGCTGGGTGGTGACCTGTAGGCTGCAGGTGTTACAGAAAGGAGGTTCTGTTTTGGTTAGTAGGTATTCGTGTGTGATCTTGGAGTGTCCTATTCGAAGCCTGGTCATAGCTATCCTTTCTTTTCTGCTTAGATTGTTATTTGGTATTTTTTGATAGAAATGGTGTGCTATGTCATGTATTTTGGTTCTATTTGTCGTAGTCCAAATTCTGTTTCATTCTTCTTTTTCCGCTTTGGTCGTTGAAGCTAGAAGGTCTTGGTGTGGGATTGGGATGTTGGTTTCTTTTGTTGATTCTCGATTGTTGATTCTTTGGCTAAGGAGTCGGCTTGTTCGTTTCAGGCTAAGGCGCCTTGTTTCCAAGGCTGGGCTTTGTTTATGTCCTTTCCACATACTGTCTCTCCCCCCAAAGCCAGAAAAAGTGTCCTAAGGTGAGAGTATGTTAGGACATCTGGCAATTCTCGGCAGGGTCGAGGCTTCTTAGAAATAGACTTGGCTGACGCCTCGGAGGGTTCTGTTCTGCGCCAGAACAGTCCACTTATTTTTGTCCCTCGACAATCTGCTAACTTTTCCTTTAAATATATTTTACTTCAACACCAATGCAAATATTAATTTCAATCATTCGCCAAATAATCTATGTACCATAAAGACATATAATATATAAAACTTAAGATAGTAATATGAGTATCACTTTGATTAAACTTAATTCATATCTATTTTCATTACCTGTCCACTCAATTTTGTCCGTAGCTGTATATATACAGGGTAGGGCACTTAAAACAGGTCACCAGAATAACTCGCTTGTTCCCGGAGATAGAAGAAAATGCATTAGACCAAACTTATTTGATACCGAGGGGCACATAATCTGATGTTACTAATTTTTTTATAGGTGCAGGCATCAAGGAGATATGAAGGTCAACTCAGGTTTTTTAAATGGGACGGGATGATTTTTTACTTATTTACATTCAGATAGAGACTTCCGAGACAAATACAATAACCTATTATGAAGGTCATCCGAGGTCATTCAAGGTCAACTGCAAGAGAAAACACATTATCTCAAAGCACTCTTCGAACATTTTATTTACGTTCTCACAGCTAGTGTTCAAAATGTCTACCTTAAACATGGATCGGGAAATTTTTCACCATAAATCAAAACCATTTCCACTTTCTCTGCTATCGTGTAACGCATTTTGGAAAACTGAACACTAAGATTCAATATTACTGTCTCAGTGCGACGGTGATGTTGATTGCTGCCCGCTTTGCTGAGGTTTTCTCGTTCCGCCGTTTATCTCTGTCGGGAAGAATGTCATAGAATTATGGGAAGCGGTACGTGTGTATGGTGAAAAATTTCCCGATCGTAACAGGCCTTCATTTTTTAGACTATGCAACGTTTTAGACCATGTATCCATGTTTAAGGTTGACATTTTAAACACTTGTACTAGCAGTGAGAAACAACATTTTCGAAGAGTGCTTTGAGATAATGCGTTTTTTCTTGCAGTAGACCTTGAGTGACCTCGAATGACCTTCATAATAGGTTATTGTATTCGACTAAGAATTCTCTATCTGAATGTAAATAAGTAAAAAACCATACCGTCCCATTTAAAAAACTTGAGTTGACCTTCATAACTCCTTGATGCCTGCACCTATAAAAAAATTAGTAACACCAGATTATGAGCCCCTCGATATCAAACATGTTTGGTTTAATGCATTTTCTTTTATCTCCGAAAACAAGCGAGTTATTCAGGTGAACTGTTTTAAGTGCTCCACCCTGTATAATACTATATTATATATATATATAATATTATATATACATATAATTATATAGCAATATAGTATTGAAGTATAATATTATAGCAATAATTAAGTATTTACAATTTTCAAATTAGTTCCAAAAATTATCGACAGAATCTTCGTATATGTTTCGTTGAAGTGTTATTTAATTACAATAATTTAAAACTTAAAACATGCGCATTTCGACACCAACAAACTATGGCGTTCATTGTAGTCAAAATTTCTTGCATTTGTGTATGATTAATTGCAAACTTTTATTTTCGATCTCGATTATAAATAAACCTTCCAAAAGTAGAATCATGCATAAAGTATAAGTATACTTGACATCAATACATACATTATATATCATGTTTCATTCTGTATCAAACTAGGGGATGGGGTATTAACGTAGATCGTTCGTGAAAGTGTTTGGAAATTAAATTATCGATGTTTTGAAAAATTGTCGATATTGTGATTCCGTAAAAAAAATCGCACAACAATCAACCTGTTCAGTTTGAAATTTTAAAACTTTACTTTCAAATCTTATTGTTTGTTTTATTCCAAGATACTTTTACAGAGTGTAGCGGGAAAATGAAAACATACCTTCCTCCCCGAAAATGCTATAAATTGTTATAGTATTCATGTAACATTGAAAAATATTTTCTTTATTAGAGATAGATCATGGTTTTAAAAATGGGAGCATTCCCGTTTACGGACGATTCCTCAAAATTTGGTATATAACTTTTTCCCGCCAATTTATTAGACTTTGAGGAACTTATCTGGAGAAAACAAAACATTACAATTTCTTGAATTTTTATCGTCTAATTCTAACATTCGAAGTTGAATAAAATGGGGAAAAATAATTGTACATCAGGTTTTAGAAAATTGAATTCAATTTTAAAAATAATGATAAAACTAATTGTACAAAAAATTTTTTAATATTTTTACATTATGTGGCAATTTG